TCACCCCACACCTCTGGCCTGCGCCCCAGTTTTGTGTGTAGTGCAGTCTTGTATGACTAAATGAAATAGATGACAGAGGCAGGGAGAGCGCAGCAGGGAGTCAGGCTGCAGGCGGGGCTGAGCCAAGGCCCCGCCCCTCGCCCCCCGCAGCCCGAGGCCAGTGCACACTGGGGCGGCTCACCCCAGTGCCCTCAGCTCCAGGCCCCCCGCCGGCCGCCCGCCTGCCCTTGTCCTTTCATGAGTGGATTTCTGACAAATGGGGGTGAGCTTGAGTGTGCCCCACATTTCTGCCCAGGGCCAGGGTCCCACTGGGTTCTCCAGGGTACTGGCACCTCAAGGAGGCCCAGTGGGGTCTTCCTGTCAGCGCCCCCTCTCTGGCCTGAGGAGAGGCCGGGGCTGCCCTGCCTCCGCCCACACACAGGGACCCCGTGTCCTAGTCCTGCCACCAGGGCCAGCATGTGTGGGGCACCTGGGCTCCCAGGGCGGCCTGATGCCAGAGCCACACGCCATGGCCCCGAGGCGCACCCCCAGAGCATGCCCGGTGGAGCAGGGTGGCCCACACCTGCTGGCAGGTTGGTGGGGCAGGTGAGGCCGGGCGGCCCCGACTGGGGCAGCCTGGAGCCGGCAGCCGGCCACAGACCCAGCCAGCAAGGGGGGTGCTGGCCAGGGCTTGGGGTGCCAGCCCTGAGCGTCGGGAGCAGCAGACCAGAGCGCTGCCGCCAGGCCCCGGGGACCCCAGCGAGGGCAGGGCCTGCTCCAGCAGGAGCCGCGTCCAGGGAGCGGTCAGGCGGTGGGCCCCACCATCCGGCGTCTCCCCAAGTCTCCTGCCTCCCAGGCCAGGGCCGGCACGTGGCGGGCTCTGCGGGTGTGGGAGGGCTGTGCCGCCCGGAGCAGGTTTCTGGGAAGGAGGAAGTAAGGCTGCCCCCCCCATGCACCCCCCCCCCGTGGGGGCCCCGCCCCACCCCGCCCGGCCTGGCCTACAAAAGCCGGGGCCTCCTGGCGGGTGGCTGCAGGAGCCACCATGCAGCTCAACTTCAGCGGCCTGCGGGCCCTGGTGACCGGGGCCGGGAAAGGTGGGTGCGGCTGGCCGTGGGTGCGCACGCCTGCAGCTCTGCGGGTCAGGCGCGGCCCCTCCTCCCAGCGCCCCCCGCCCCCACAAGCGCCCAGCCTGCTGGGCCATGGACCCCGGTGCCGCCCGCAGGGATCGGGCGGGAGACCGCCAAGGCGCTGCTCGCCTTGGGAGCCAGAGTGGTGGCCGTGAGCCGCACCAGCGCCGACCTGGTCAGCCTCTCCCGAGAGGTGAGGCCGCCCGCCCCAGCACCCCGCTGCCCAGGGCCGCCCACTAGCCTCTCACTGCCCGATGCCCAAGCAGTGCCCCGGGGTGGAGCCCGTGTGCGTGGACCTGGGCGACTGGGAGGCCACGGAGCGGGCGCTGGGCGGCGTGGGCCCCGTGGACCTGCTGGTGAACAACGCGGCCGTGGTCCTGCAGCAGCCCTTCCTGGAGGTCACCAAGGAGGCCTTTGACAGGTGGGGAGTAGGCGCGGCCCTGGGGGGGCGCCTGGGCCAGGGTGACCGTCTCCACCGTCTGCCCCAGGTCGTTCAACGTGAACCTGCGGTCCGTGTTCCAGGTGTCCCAGGTGAGCCGGGAGGGGGTGGGAGGCCCAGGTGGGTGGGTGGACACGCGCTCCTTGGCTTCCAGATCGCTGCCCGCAGCATGAAGGCCCGCGGGGTGCCAGGCTCCATCGTCAACGTGTCCAGCATGGTGTCCCACGTGTCCTTCCCCAACCTCAGCACCTACAGTGAGCCCCGTCAGCGCCCCTGGGCGTGGGTGGGTGCCGCCCAGGGTGGGCAGCCAGGAGGCCTCAGCATGTCCCCCCCGCAGGCTCCACCAAGGGCGCCATGACCATGCTGACCAAAGCCATGGCCCTGGAGCTGGGGCCGCACAAGGTGGGCTCCGGCGCGGGCGGGCGGGCAGTGACCAGCGGTGACCCACAGCCAGGGGCTGAGGCCGCCTCCCGCCTCTGGGCCCCAGATTCGGGTCAACTCCGTGAACCCCACGGTGGTGCTGACGGCCATGGGGAAGAGTGTGACGCAGGACCAAGAGTTCACCCTGAGGCTCAAGGAGCGCCACCCGCTGCGCAAGTTTGCTGGTCAGCGCGGCTCGGGAGCGGGGCGCGGCGGGGCCAGCGGCCGCCTGCCTCTGACCCCGCCTGCCGTCCGCCGCAGAGGTGGAGGACGTGGTCAACAGCATCCTCTTCCTGCTCGGCGACTGCAGCGCCTCCACCACCGGCTCGGGCGTCATGGTGGACTGCGGGTACCTGGCCTCCTAGGGCGGCGGGCACAGCGGCGCAGGCCCCGCCCACCGCCGCCCCGTCCCACAACGACACGCCCCCAGAGGCCAGCGCCCCGCCCCACGCTGGCCACGCCCCCAGAGGCCAGCGCCCCGCCCACACGCTGGCCGTGCCCCGCCCCCCGGCCCCGCCAGACCCCGTCTGCAGACCCTTACCGCCCGCGAGACCCAGCCGTGGACTGGCCAAATAAAAGGAGGCTTCTCCCGAACGGTGTCCGCGAGGCTCCACGGACACCGCGAGTCTGGGGAGGGGCGGGGCTGGTCTCCCGGGCGCCACCGCCGACCTCCGCCAGCAGCTGAAGGGCCGAGAGGCTCCTCCGCCCAGACCTCTGCCCAGGACGACGGGCAGGGAGGGCCGCCCATGGCCAGCCTGTGCCAGGCGCCGGGCACCAGCTGTCTGGCAGGGAATGTGATGTGGGGGGCCAGCGTGGCCAGTCAGCTGGGTTGGTGCAGTGTCCAGCCCTGGGCAAGGGAGCTGAGAACAGGGGCCGCAGCAGCCCGTGACCAGGGGAACCCCGGGGCAGGGGTGCGGCAGGTGGAGGGAGGGCTGGTGCTCTCTGGCCAGTCAGCAGGGCCTCCCAGAGCCGGCCCGCTGCCCGGGTCAGCCCAGCCAACCTGCCCAGGCACAGGGCTGGCCAAGGGTGGGGCAACCTCCTGGGGCCATGGGCGCAGGTGGCTGGGGTGGGGGGCAGGCAGGGGCCTGCCGCAGAGGGCAGGGCTGCGGGGTGCCAGCCCGAGGGACCCGGCACTGGGGAAGCTCAGCGGCTTCCGCGCCACGCGGGCGCCCTCCCCTCAGCCCCAGCCGGGGGCCTGTCTGGGCCCAAGGCCAGAGCCCGGGGCGCAGAAACCCGCTCCGGGCCACCGGTCGCAGAGCCGTGGGTCCCACGTTCCCCACCGCCCACGGCGCAGAGCGGTGTTGCAGAAGGGGCCTGGGCCAGGCCTCTGAGCGCCAGGAGCCCCAGCCCCGGGCCCCTGCCCGCGCTCCCATTCCTGCTCCGACGCTCAAAGCCCAGGGGGCCTTTAGGGCTCGGCTCCCCTCTGCAGACCCTCGGGCGTCCAGACTGGGTCCCGCGCGGGCGTGAGTCGCTCGCCGAGGGGCTGGGGTCCGCGGTTCCAGCCAACTTTCCTTTCCCCAAACGGGAGGGTCAGCCCCAGCGGGCGCCCCAATTCCTTCCCGGCAGCCCGCCGGCCAGCCGGCCGGGCCGGGGGCAGCAGCGCTCCGGGGCGC